GGTATATTAGCCCCAGGATAAGCAGGTCCCTTTTCCCCTGGTAATTGAACAGGGGTTACTCCAGGTTAATTAGGACATGTGGGGCCAATCAAGGGCCTGCCAGAACCTGTTAAAAGCCTCCCCTCCAGTCAGATAGGCACGCGCAATAGGAACTGTGGGGAGCAGGTGTGCTACTGGAGAGCTGGATGGTGCAGACACTGACAAACGCCAGAAGGAACATCTCACAAGTGAAAAGCAGGGGAAACCCTGCCTAACCAGGCATACAGCCCTTCTGGGCACTAGAGGTTTGGGGGAAGAGACCCCACCAGAGGGGAGAGACTGAACTGGGTGTCTGGCCTGCTGCCACTACACCCGGAGGAGCTACCAGAGACTAAGAGGCTCCCCTCCCCTGTCAGGAAGGCTGGGAGGAACCTCTGTTCTGACAAGGTGAAGACAGTAAACCCAGGGGTGTGGGGAAATTCCAAGGGAGAGAGGAATTCCCCAGCCCCCGGCTAAGAGGAAGCACGGAATCCACCAAGCCAGAGAAGGAGCTCTGCCACACCATATAGAATACACCAAATTGATCCTTGGTGTAACTCTGACTTCCATAAATGTTTTGACTCTGCAGTTCATTTAGTGTTCTGTTTCTGAGAAAAATGGTGAAATCTCAAATCTTTATTGTTAGCAATTCTAGGCCAGTTTTAGTTATGAGCCCCTGGTTTTGCCTTTGCTGAAAGACATATGGATTATTATATATTCTCCCTTTGACCCACTCATCACATGTTCATTTTACATAAAAAGAATGATAAATAATAACTCAGTAAACTTCAAACAATCAAATGGGTGGTTTTGATTCCTTTCTTACTGAAGAAATACTACAATTTTCTTCTCAGTCTAACAGTGGTTTGGGCTTCGTATGCATCCTTGTGAAAAATTACCAAGCATAGATGTTGCAAAATCTAAGTGGCCTAGAATGTCTTTGTAACTTTGTAATTGCAAATAACTTAGGAAATTACACACAAAAACTATGTTAAAGGAACATTATTAATTACATGATCACAAACTACTTTCCAACAAGACCCCTCCCTCATTCAGTGCACAGAATAGACCTGATATAGGGAGTAGTCAGGGTTGTGTAGTGAAGGAGACTGTTATCTGTAAGACTCGTTTCATTTGTTGCAGAAGCTGGGAGGTGTGTAGTGAATGAGGCAAGGGATTACCAGGACAGAAAGCCTGGTCTCATTGTTAAGGCAGCTGAATGCTGCTCTGGGGGACTGGATTATATCTCTGCCTCTCCCACAGAGTTCCTGTATGATGCTGAGCAAGTCACTGAGGGTATGTCTACACTGCAGCTGGGAGGTGTGATTCCCATCATGGGCAGACAGACTCACACTAGCTCAGCTCGAGCTACCATGCTAAATGTGTGGATTTTGCAGCACTGGTGGCAGCTCGGGTCAGCTGCTGGAGCCCAACTCCACCCAACCCTCTCAGTCCAAGATCAGGCAGGTAGATCAAGCTGCTGCCAGTGCCACAACATCCACACTCTATTTTTCATGTGCTACCTCAAGCTGAGCTAGTCAGCTCCTCATACCAATCAGACCTCCCAGCTGCAATGTAGACATGCCCTTAACCAAACTTTTCACAGGTAGTCACTAATTGTGTGTTCCTCATTTTCTGGGTGGGTACACAACTTGAGACCCTGGGATCTTATTTGAAGAAGTGCTGAGCACACAGACCTGTACCTGAAGTCAATGGTGGCTGTGATTTGAACAAATAAAGAGCTGTATAATGCTAAGAACTCTTAAAACTCAGGTCCTTGGTATCTCAAATTGGGCACTTAAAATTAGTGGATACTTTTGATTTTACTCTCTGTGCCTCAGTTTCCTATCTGTAAAACAGGGATAATATCACCCCCTCATCTCACAGGGATCTTGTGAAGATAAATTCAATAATGTTTGTGAAACACTCAGATACTATAGTGACGAGCACCATATAAAAGCCCATGAGGAAATTATTAATTTTGTCTTCAGAGCAGGGTCTGAATAGTATGCAATAAATAAGACCTAATGCCACACGTTGAACAATGATGGAAAATATTGATCCCAGTCCATTCTGTGAACTGAATGAGGCAGAGGCCTTGTGAACAAAAATAGCTTGTAATCATGTAATTAAAGACTATCATAATGCATACTCACAAGGGAGATTAATTAAAGTTGCACAGAAAACCTTAATTCATACGGTTACCAGATAGCAACTGTGAAAAAACGGGACAGGGGGTGGGGGATAATAGGCACCTATATAAGAAAAAGTCCCCAAAAAATGGGACTGTCCCTTTAAAAATGGGGCGGATGGTCACCTTATTAATTCAGGAATTTTCCAGCTTTTGAGTGCTTGACTTTGCAACTCTAATAATATTGGTTTAATATTCTTTTAAAATAGCCGTGTTTGGTGTCATGTAATTAAAATGATAGAAGAAGCTATATACATAGAACACAGGACAAGGAGCCAAGGGGCCAGCTTCTATTCTTGGCTTTGCCACTGCTCTGTTGTTTTGCTTTAGCCAAATCACTTAATCGCTTTGTGTCTCAGTTTACCCATCTTTAATATTCATTATTCTGGGAACTAAGGGGGTCACTTAATATTAAACAAGGTTCTTTGAGATCCTTGAATATAACACTCTAAAAAGTCATCAAACCACAAATTATGGAGCAGAAAGATTTTTGGGTTAATAGAGCCAAAACCAAAGGTCTTTGAAGTCATGTAAAGACTCCCATTAATGTACATGGCTTTTTAGTATGCACATATACTACACTGACCGGCACCTTATCTAAGATGGAAAATGGAACAACTTTTAAATATAGACTCCAATAGTTGAAAATATTTTTCTTGCCTAATGTATTTATAGAAAAAGAAGCAAGAGAAATACAAAGCAGAATGCATGAGGCAGTTACAAAAATAAAAAAAAAATAAAAGACCCATTTATTTTTGTTTCTATAAGAAATGGCAATCTGACATTGAAACTGGGTTTCATTTGACTGCAGGCAAAAAAGTCCAGCACTATGCAATTTTCAGCACAGGTTTGGTTTTAACACAAGACAACCAGAGTTTTGCAGTACAAAATAATCAGGAATATTTAAGTTACTGTTACTATTTAACTCTGTATAAAATGTTTTTAACAGTGAGCACTACAGAAATGTCTATAAATAAAAAGAAATGTGATTCTCATTTTCAGGTTTCTAAATAAACTGCATTTCACATACATTTAAATGAATGCATTAAGAAAGTTTATATGGATAAATCACAAGAACATAGTGGTCTATGCTAAGTAGTATACAAATATAGTTTTGGTGGTTATTTAACATCTGTGGAGAAAGACATAAAAACTGTTCCTTATACTTTTGAAATATTATGATTTATCCTTTCATTGGCTAACACAGTGTTTGTTATACATCATTAATTCACAGTAAACCGAGTAATATCTATTGTCCTCTACAGTGCATAATCCATGTATTTAAGAAAAAAGTTTGACTATTTCTTGAATTCTCTACTATTACAACTTTGCAAAAGTCAGTGGGGGTAGGTAATAGTTTATTTTAATAAATGTCAAGAATAATTGCGAAGAGAGAAACCTTCCAATAACAACTTATTAACCAAGAGAGTGGCAGTACTTTTGAAAAGAGAAATGTTCAGACTGTAAAAATATGTATTAGCAGTTTATGCTGCTTTGTAACTTTTCAAGGTAGAGTTCAACCATATAGGAAAGAATCCCACACTAGTACTAATGGTGAATCATTAGATTTCGCAAACAAATATTCTGAAAGAAAGCCCAGCATGCTCCAGATTTACATTCAGTGAGGACCAGATTCTTTTGAAGTCAGTGGCAAAGCATTCCTTTTGGTGTAAATGGTTTAGCATCAGGCCCTAGATGTCTAAATTAGAGAATAAATTTTATGTCACTAAAAACATGTGCTTGCATATTCTGCATTAAATACCAATAGAAATATTAGACAATATTAGCCTCTCTGCTTCTTTCATAATACATTTGCTGCAAAATGTCTACTGAATCTCAGCACTTTCTGTAGATAAAAAGGTATGTTCACAGTGCCATGCCAAACAATACAAAATGAATAAAAAGATGACTGTGTACAGTCAGAGTGATTCCATTTAATAAGATGGATTAACCCAACTTTATTTTCAAGCTCTTAACCTAGCAAACAATCGTATAAGATATAATTGTCACTGGATGACATAACTCTATACAAAAAAGGATAATATACTCTGGACTGCTTGGCAGGTTTGGAAGCTTATCTTTTCTAATGTAAATCTCTCCTCGCCCCCAGTCTCAGTAATATTAAATCTAACAAACTTCACTAAGACCTTTACCTCTTTGGTGCACACTTGCCTTATTAATACTATAAAAAGTTATATTAAAGTTCCCACATAATTTTCCAAAATGTATCTGCAGAATAACTTTACAAAGCTGAAAGAGTATATACTCCCATGCAGTAAGAATACCATGCACACTAACTAAAACCCCACAAGTTCTCATGAGAAAATGAAATGCATTTTCAGGTGGATTTGCATAATAGAGATGTTTAAATAAACAACCACAGGAAAATAGAAGGCACTTTGAAAGATTCATTTCAAATAAAGCCTTGTGTTATTGCTGGGAGGATATTTAAAACTGAATTGGCTGAACCCTTGTTCTACATCTACCTTCAATTCTTACTGTATCTACAGTATTGTGTGTGCATGTCTGAGACTGTACTAAAATACAATCAATGGCCAGGTTACCAATGACAGCTTGTAGAAACATGACCAATTACAGTTAAATCTGAAGATAGCAGTAAAGATTGTATAAGGTTATTCGGAAGACATAGAAGCTAGTCACATATACAATTAAAATGGGCAAATTTTATGTACGCGTCTAACTGAACTGACTGTATACATCTATACAGTATTAATTTCACTAGTGTATATGTAGTGAGAGCAAGAGAGTTATATATTTTAAGGTTCCTTACCTTGCCTTCTGCACCTCCAGCTGACCTGTCCACCTCCTCCTCCTGTGCTTTCTGCTCTCCACAAGAAGGACAAAGCAAAAGAGTAATAAAATGAGTTTTGCAAAATAAGGCATTTTATGGAAAATAGTGATGAGACACTCTACACTCCAATAACCTCCTGCAGTACAAATCCACCCTAGTTTAAACATTGAATCAGCTATAATTCCAGGGTCCTGTGTTTGTCAGAGTGATCATTGTTAAAAATACTGCTTTTCTGATTTAATAATTTAAACTGGCTTTTGAGGGCTTCTCACTCGAAGCTCATCCTTCATCACTGCGTAGTGATTGGCCATTACTCAAGAAGAAGTTTCTCCTGGCAAACAACATTTCCACTCGGTCCTAAAGGAGATATTTGCCAAAAGTCATTATATAAAAAGACTGCAGTTCCACATGCCAGCTTTTTGTTCAAGCCGCTAATCTCAGAACTGTACTATCCTTCTGTCAGACTGTATAAAACCATGCTGTCTCTTTTCATTAGGGATCCCAGATTTTTTATCACTATAATATGCATTTTTAACAAGGTGGTGCCAATATGTTTTGTGTTTAAGATCAGTACACTTTGCATTGCTGTACATATTTTAGTATAGTTTTAGGGAATTTGATTTTTTTCTAGATCAGTTAACAGTTAGTCAACTGTGTAGTATAATTTGTACCAGCATGCTGTTTTTGTGATATCAAATTTTTTTTAAAAGCCCATAATTCTTCCAAAAGAAAATTGTTTCCCCCATAGGTTAACAGCATTAAAGTGGTTATTTATTTTGAATATTAGGATTTCTCTAATAATTAAATTGTTAAAAATTAAAATTAAATAAAATATTGTTTGATTTTAGGACACTCAGTAACTAAATCTTCTACAGTTCCAATCCTGCAAATACGAAAGTATGCAAAAAACTTTGTCCATGTGAGTAGTCACTACTCATGTGAGTAGTGGGTTGTGGGACTGAGACCTTAATCTGTTAAAGCTTTGAGATTAGCATGAAAAGACATTACAGCAGCTGCTTTTTATCACAAGGAGGAGGATGTTTTCAGGTGTCATTCTGAAGTTTGTTTATTTACTAAACAGTAAAGACAGGGGAATTCAATATTATACCTTGTCTTGACAGATGAAGAGGAAAGAATCACAGAACTAAAAATTAATAGTAATTTAGGTAAAAGTGAACATGATTTGATAACATTTATAATGTACCAAGACAATAAAACCCAGACCAGCGTGGTGGGTGTGTGCGTTGGGTGTGTGTTGTATTATAGCCCTGTGTATTAAAAAAATCAACCTGGTTTAGTGGGGAAATGAAGGCAACCATAAAAAATATGTATATAACAAAAGGAAGAAAGGAAAAGTTGATAGTAATAAATATAAATCAGAAACTAGGAATTATAGAAAATTGATAAGGGAAGCAAAGGGACAAGGAGAAATGTATAGCCAGCAGAGTTTGGTTTTTGTTTGTTTGTTTTAAGTATATTAGGAACAAAAAAAATCCTAACAATTATATTGGACCATTACTAGATGGAAATGACAGAATTGTCAATAATAATGCAGAAAAGGTAGAAGTGTTCAATACATATTTCTGTCCTGTATTTGGGGAAAAACAGATGATGTAATCATATTTTATGGTAAAACTCTCTCCATTCCACTAGTGTCTCAGGAGGATGTTAAACAGTAGCTATTAATGTTAAATATTTTTAAATGAAGAATTCCAGATAACTTGCAACCACATTTTTTTAAAAGAGCTGGCTAAGGAGCAAGATAATTCAGGGCAAAATAATGGAATAGCTGATTCAGGACTCAATTAATAAAGGAGGGTAATATAATTATAATTAATGCCAATAAATACGGATTTATGGAAGTAAATACTGTCAAACTATCTTTCTTGATGAGATTACAAATTTGATTGATAAAGGTAATAGTGTTGATGTAATATATCTACACTTCTGTAAGGTGTTTGATTTGATACCACATGACATTTTGATTTAAAAAACTAGAATTAGCACGGCACACATTAAATGGATTAAAAGCTGGCTAACTGACAGGTCTCAAAAAAAAAGTTAACAGGAATTATCTTTGAACAGGTGTGTTTCCAGTGTGATTCCGCAGAGATTGGATTTTTTCATACACTATTGAACATTTTTATTAATGACCTAAAAGAAAACAAAATTATCACTAATACAGTTTGCTGATGACACAAAAATTGGGGGATTGGTACATAATGAAAAGGACAGGTCATTGATACTGAGTGATCCAGATCACTCGGTAAACTAGGTGCAAGCAAAAATGTGGTGGGTGCATGTAAATGCATACATTTAGGAACAAAGAATGGGGACTCTATCTTGAGAAGTAGTGACTCTGAAAAAGATTAGGGGGTTCTGGGGGCTAGTCAGCCAAACATGAGCTCCCAGTGTGATGCTGTGGACAAAAGGCCTAATGCAATCCTTGGAGGCATAAACAAGGGAATCTAGAGGAGTAGAGAGGTTGTTTTACTCATATTTGACACTGATGCAACTGCTGCTGGAATACCGTGTTCAGTTCTGGTGTCCACAATTTAAGAAGGATGTTGATAAACTGGAGCGGGTACAGAAAAGAGCCACAAGAATGATTAAAGGATTAGAAAACATGTCTTATAGTGATAGACTCAAAGAGCTCTATTTATTTAGCTTAAGAAAGAGAAGGTTAAGGGGAGCCTTGATTACAGTTTATAAGCATCTACCCGGGGAACAAATATTTATTAATGGTTGTCACGCTGCCTGGTATAGGTCACAACTGAGAATGCCAAATTCAGGACTGTAAAAAACAGAGCAGACAAACCCCAAAACTGGTAGTTTATTCCATCATAATATTTCACCAAGCCAGTAACAAAAGTGAGCTCTTGTATCACTGTACTAGTTCACAGAGAGACAAATAACAGTCCCCTAGGCACTCCAGCCCCTGGTTACCACCCAGACAACTGGACTTAGTGATGAAAGACTCTTAAAACCAAAATTCACCACACGTTAGGTTCTTCCAATCCCAAAGGATCAGACATTCACCCCCAGGTCAACATGTACTTTCAGGATCTCACCAAATACCACGTTGCAGCAAATCTTTAGTAAACTAACTAAAGATTTATTTTAAAAGAAAAAGAAAAGAAAAGAAAGTTATTAAATGGTTTAAGGAATCATATACTTTACAATTGATTTCAGAGTCTGTAGGTCAGGAAAACAGCAGTGATGGTAATTCTGCTACCTTGAAATATGTCTCTCTGGATCACCCAAAAAGATTGGTGGCAGGGCCGGCTCTAGGCACCAGCTGAGCAAGCAGGTGCTTGGGGCGGCCAAGGGGAAGGGGCGGCACGTCAGGCTCTTTGGCGGCAATTCGGCGGAGGGTCCCTGTCCCACCAAATTGCTGCCGAAGAAGAAAGCGGCACGGTGGAGCTTTTTTTTTTTTTTCCTTCGCTGCTTGGGGCAGCAAAAACCCTGGAGCCGGCCCTGATTGGTGGTCATCAGTCCTTCATTCAAATCTTCCTTCTTGTTCGAAAATCACAGTCCAGTGAAATGGTGCAGGATTGAAGACAAAGAGCATTGTCCCAGTCTGCAATTTATACCCACAGCACATGTGCATGGAAAGTTACTGGCACAAACAGTAGTCCTGGGTCACGTATGTCTTGCTGAGTCATTCATTGCCTACATGTGCCTGAAGAAGAGACCTTGGGAGGGGTCCCTGGAAGAGCTGATTGTCCTTAATGGGCCATCAAGCAGGCTGGCTAGCCTTGATGTAAATCTGTCTTGGAGGTGTTACCCAGAAACACAACATGTTTGAGATACAAACATAGACCAAAGTTTCATAACTTCATATACAATGATGACACATGCATATAAACAGGATAATCGTACATAGCAGACAACTTTTCCGATAATACATTACACAACATACTTTGTATAAGATTTATCACAATTGTGCAACAGTGGTTTAGTGTAAACATGGTCACCTTCCATGGTCACACCCCCAGTGAAAAATTGATGTAGAAGAGGGTGTCCCAGACACTGCTGGATGCATCTTAGGAGTTCCCCATTCTCAACAATGCATCTGCCATTACATTTCCTTTGCCTTTAATATAAATTATGTTCATTTCATATTCCTGTAAGGCTGCACTCCAACAAAGTAACCTGGAATTGGTTCCCTTAGCTCTCTGCAACCATATGAGAGGTGCATGGTTGCTTAATACGTTGAACCTTCTGTTGTACAAATAGGGTTTAAATTGCTTAGGGTTTAAATTGCTTAACAGTCCACACAATTGCATAACATTCCTTTTCAATAGTTGCATAATCTGGTGTCAGTTTCTTGTTTACGCATAGGGTGACCAGACAGCAAGTGTGAAAAATCGGGACAGGGGGTGGGGGGTAATAGGAGCCTATATAAGAAAAAGACCCAAAAATCGGGACTGTCCCTATAAAATCAGGACATCTGGTCACCCTATTTACGCATGAATTGGGGTGTCTCCTATCACCTTCTTGCATTAGCACTGCTCCAAATCCAATATTGGAAGCATTAGTGCATAGCAGAAATGGTTTCTCAATATCAGGGCTGGCTAAGACAGGTTCTTTAAATAAGGCTTCTTTTATGCTCTGAAAGTCCTTTTCCCAGGCCTCCGTCCACACCACTTTGTCAGGCTTCCCTTTCTTTATAAGGTCTGTTATGGGAGCAACAATATCAGTGAACCCCTTTAAAAATAATAAAAGATTGGACCTGCTTCTTTGTTGTAGGTGCAGGCCAGCTTTTAATAGGTTCAGGGCAAACCAGCCCACTGTGCCCCAGGTATGATACCTTTGAGGCTTGCATTTAGAAACTTTGTCAGGTTAGCCTCTCTAAGCCTATGTAACACAATTCCCACATGGTTTATGTGATCTTGCCAAGAACTGCTGAAAATGGCTAGCTAGTCTCTGTAGGACTTCATTTATAAACCTCATGAATGTGGCTCCTGAATCCTGTAATCCAAATAGTGAGCCAGCATCCCAAACCCCCTCCTGCACCCCAAGCTCCAGCCCTGACCCCCCTCCCAGAGCCAGCACCCCATACCCCCTCCTACACCCCAACACTGTGCCAGAGCCCCCTCCTGCACCCCAACCCCCTGCCCCAGGCTCAGCCCAGAGCCCCCTCCCACACTGCGAACCCCTCAGC